ATTACTAGGGCCTCGTTCCACAAAGCGATTGTAACTCTAAGACAGTCATATGTCTTTGTTAAAGTATGGGAGTTACGATCGTCTTAGTGCTAAGATCGCGTAGGGAAGGGGGTCCAGGTCTGTTCCATTAAAGTTTGAGCCTACTAGTCCATCTGTCAATGGCACCCTTTTCTGTCAATGTGGGCATAAACATATGGGCTATTAATAGCCGAGCTCACAGTCAGACATGTTATGGGGACCCATGAAGAGGTAAACGTCTGAGACCTGCATCACTTCGGGCTTTTCTCCCACATTGAGCTGACACGCAGCGATATAACTGGAATACTGTTAAAAGCGGCGTTAAACCCAACTCACTCACTCACTCACTCCAAGGTACTTCAACCATGGCCAACATTTGAAGAACCCCATCGCCTAAAATGTTTAAACAACAATGTTTTGATTACAGTATTTAAGAAATATTCAAGAAATATATGCTAACGGTGAGAACACTGTGAGTTGCCTCTGCCTAATGCAAGTGGAGCCTTTTTCACACGTGCACTTCGTTCTTTGCTGACTTACGTTATGAAATGTCCTGGGACAAGTATAGGACCATCTCAAGCACATTTATCACGACCCGTGAAGATCCGGGGTAGAATAGGTCCTCCCCAAACCATGCTTGCCGTAAAAGGCGACTAACGGGATTAGGTGGTCAGGCTCGCTGACTTGGTTGATGCATGTCATCGATCCCAATTGTGTGGATCGATGCTCATGATATTAATCACTGGATTGTCTGGTCCAGACTCGATTATTTACAGACCGCCGTAATATAGCTGGAATATTGCTGAGTGCGGCGTTAAACAACGAACCAACCAACAACATGTTAAGGGGTCCAGGCTTCGGACTACTGTCTGCATCACCATCACGTGTACCTTCTCATCTGTATCTTCATCACACTATCACCTTAACGATTATCATATATCGTTATAACTCCATTAAGAATCTTGCAATTCTACTGGTTAATCCGTACAACATGATAAAAGAAAACATTTGAAGGTTGACCCCAAAATCATGTCACTGACACTAATCTCGTATATTGACTCCTCTGTTAGAAAACAAGATGATGTCTGGTACTAACATGTCACAGTTCGCAGCTATTAAAGTGACTGTAATGAAACAGAGGATGGTTTAAAGGATTCATAAACTTTAAAGTGAATTTTAAGTTAAAGCGAATGATTACCTATCATCACATCAATATGTGAGGACCTGACGGTCAAAGGGGTCAGGTCTGAGGGTCCTTGTTTTCGCATATTGACCTCGTCAAAAGTAATAACTTGTATAATATAAACATTTCTGCCATATTCATCACATGTTATTTGACACACTGTACTGACATGCTGATATTATTCACATGTGGTTATCTGTATCACAAGGTGACATAAACGCAAGGGCAAATTCCCACATTGAACATTACAATGTTCATCTTTTACAGAACTTGAGAAACAAAGGAATGTAAATACACTGCATGCACATATAGATTATTATTTCCATTATTGATTCATTAATTACATGAAATTTACATACGTTCAGCTGTGTAATGACCATTGTGATACCCGTGAAGATCTGGGGTAGAATAGGTTTTCAGCAACCAATGCTTGCCGACCTGTGAAGATCTGGGGTAGAATAGGTCTTCAGCAACCCATGCTTGCCGACCCATGAAGATCTGGGGTAGAATAGGTCTTCAGCAACCCATGCTTGCCGACCCGTGAAGATCTGGGGTAGAATAGGTCTTCAGCAACCCATGCTTGCCGACCCGTGAAGATCTGGGGTAGAATAGGTCTTCAGCAACCCATGCTTGACGTGAAGTGAAAGGCGAGTATGCTTGTCGTAAGAGGCGATTAACGGGATCGGGTGGTCAGGTTCGCTGACTTGGTTGATGCATGTCATCAATCCCAATTGAGTGGATCGATGCTCATAATATCAATCATTGGATTGTCTGGTCCAGACTCGATTATTTACAGACCGCTGTCATATAGCTCGAATATTGCTGAGTGCGGCGTTAAACAACAAAACCATCGTGATACACCCAAAATACAGTAAACTACGGTCATAACAAACTCAAGGCGACCACTAATTTTAGTTCATTGTATCGACCTTCAGACATCTTTTATCAAGTCATGTGACATCATGTTACTCAATAAATAACAAAAGTAAGCACTGTACATGTAGAATATATCCACTTCAATCACTGTGTTACTATTGTTAATTGCGGGTGTAATTTGAGACAAGGCGTCAGTACTTACGAGTAAACCAATTGCCTTGAATTGTTTATTGATGCTTTGAACAGCACCAGTTGGCAGCGGATGTTTTGATAGGCAGATTGGTGACACGCGAGGAGCTCAGCTCCGGGATTAACAGTTCGTTATACACTTAAACATTACTGTTGACAGACTACACACGGGACCACAAGGTGAGTTGGTTTTATCCGTTATTTCTATATGAGCGTGTTCGTTATATTCATCAACTTTATATATGGCAAATGGCTGGCATCAAAAGAAAAGTTAATTACATCCTTCACTTCGTGATATGCGTGTTCGTTATAAAACATAGTCTACTGTATTGACAAATGAAATGTCTATATGGATAACAATAGGTCTTAACCCATAAATATTTGCCAGAGCTGTATGTAAAAATACAAATCAATGTCTGTCCATAGTGGAAGACTATCAAAGATTATTTATCACTTCAGAACATATTGTTCATATTTCCTGCTAAGGTTCGATGAGAACATTTAACAAGATGTGTCAAAGTGTATTCAAAATTCAAAATCAGTTTCCACTAGTTCTTATAATAAAAAAATACAGCAAAACGCTTAAAAATGTCAAATTTCTTCAAGTCCTTATGATACCTTTACTATCAGGCAGTTTGGCAAGAACTTCAGAACCAGTGCCAATTTCTAACACTGAAAATATACCTGGTGCACACAAGGATACTAAGGTTTGGTTCATGGCAATAGGGTCTGATAAGATTAAAGTACCCCGATAACATATCTTTAAGTTGTGTTTCAATACAAAACAATTCACAAACATACATGCATAATGAGTGAGTGAGTATGGTTTTATGCCGCTTTTGGCAATATTCCAGGATTATCACGTCAAGGGACACCGGAAATGGGCTTCACACATTGTTCCCATGTGAGGAATCAAACCCGGGTCTTCGGCGTGACAAGCGAACACTCTAACCACTAGGCTACCCGACTGCCCCTACATACATAAGGAGGCAAGCAATATGATAAGTAGATGACACATGCTACTGGACATGAAGATCAGTTGTAACATACAATTTTCTGATGGTACATGAGAGGCCTGCAGCCCATGTTTCTTTGATTGACTCAAGTTTAATATTGTCACAAAGTGTACTTTGACAGCACTGCTGCAAACAACATCTATAAGCACCATCCAATGAACTTGAATTGTCATAAAGATCTGCAGATCCGGGACATTTAGTCCGCTAGTCCGCTAGTTCGCTAGCCCGCTAGCCTGAGATAACTAAATTGTGCTGAGGACAGCACAGCTGTCATGATGGTACTCATTGACTAGTTGCATCTTAAGGCTATAATTCTGAACCAGTTCTCAATGCTTCAACTGTGCTACAAATTTGAACTGTATAAAACTAACAGTGAAGGTAAACATAGTATAAAGGTTTTTATCATCAAAAACTGGCTCCCATAGGAGATATTGCTTGGGTGAGATCAAGCGATATCTACAGTGTAGATATCGCTGCAATGAAATTGCATCACAATGCTTTGCAGACCATTGTGACATGATTGGTTACCATGACATCACAGTCAAATGACATCACTAATGGTTCTGCTACTGAAGCTGTAAGCAGTACTTTTTTCACTGAAGACACTGATTATTACTGTCCACAAACTGAAAAGGTTGGAAGAATGATGTTGGATGATAAATAAAATCTCACCCGCAGTTTTTTCACTTTTATCAACTAGTGTTGCTATCTTGTTTGATAGGCATTACTTAGAAGTTGGCGGATGACAAGATAGACACAATTTTATGGATAACAACTTCTTTAATACTGTAAAAAGCGACGTTTCGGTATAGATCCTTATACCGTTGTCAAGCAAAACGTCGCTTTTTACAGTATTAAAGAAGTTGTTATCCATAAAATTGTGTCTATCTAGTGTTGATATATTTGATATCAAAAGACACTCGGGTGAGATTCTCTATGTCTTGCTCTAGCAAGACTAGCTACAAACTCTGCTGATTAGTGAAATAATAAAGTTTCCACTAGTCCTCTGGACTTGTCTTAAAAACAACAACAAATGTGTGAGGCTTGGTCTGTGGCCCCTTCCACATAGTGATCTAAGTCTCATGTTGAAACATGGCAATATTAGTGCTAAGTTCAAACTGTAGAATGGTGCCATGAACAGTTTGATTATCATTAAAGATGTTTTAAACTCATGACATAATTGGCAACTTCAGGCAGACAATGTTAAGGTCCAGTAAACAGAATTTCTTGGTCATTATCTAAAGAGGCAGTAGGCAAAAATGAATAAATAAATAATTATGTTTTTTTGGAATGATTTAACATTAATTTCCTAAAACTATCCTCTTGAAATAAAAACCCCAGTATTTTGAAATATCTTTTTAAAACCGCATGTTGCAAACATTGTGTGTGCTAATCTCTATAACAGGAGAATCAACCTGTCTGGTGTATGGTATGTTTATAACAAACACTGCCGACTTGATCACACATATACAACCATCTTAGAAACTGACCATTGAATATTAAAAAATACCCATAAAATACAGGGGAAAATAACAAAATTGTTCACTTGACATGTTGGATGCCCTGGAAACCCCAACCCCACAAATCCAAAAGATGCTGTCCCTAAAAAAAATACCCCCGCCCCAGAATCAGTATAATGGTCTGTCCAAGGTCGGAAGGTCTAAAAGTAAAAGTTCACGAAAGATAATGAGGTATTATTATTTATACATCAAAGCAAAACCATTAAAAGGTATTAGCTAAAAAAACAACTCCCTGTGCATATTCAAAGTCAATCCTGGACTTAAATTTTTGTAGTTTTAGTACTTGCTGGAAGGAAAAAAAACCTTAAAAGAATAAGTGGAGGACATCATCATAAGTTAATGGCTGCAGCACAAACCTTTAAATTACAAATACTTATATATATTAGAAACAACAATTGCTATGACCCTCTCCTACATGTTTCTAACAGGAATACTTTAATGTAGTCGACAAAATGTCCAGGTGTATCACAATGCAGCAGGTAAACGAGTTCAGCTGGAATCTGTCTTGGTGTTGGATTACACACCGGCAGCATTGGTCGACGTGACATAGCTGACGGCAGTCTGGAGGGAAGTCAGACAGTACCCCTCCTCCCCCATGATGTACCTGGAACAAAACACAGGTGAGTGAACAGGTAATCTAGTGGTTGCATGTGTGAGCAGGTGTTAATACAGGTAATCTAGTGGTTGATGGTGTGAGCAGGTGTTAATACAGGTAATCTAGTGGTTGATGGTGGGAGCAGGTGTTAATACAGGTAATCTAGTGGTTGAAGGTGTGAGCAGGTGTTAATACAGGTAATCTAGTGGTTGATGGTGTGAGCAGGCTAGAAAAAATAATAGTCTTGGTTCCCAGGCACTTCCCACATCATCATAAAGTTCATTGCACGTTTCTTTTCGTTTCCATTTTCAATTTTTTGTCTGCATTGGGATGAGATATTAGGATTTTTATATTTTTTGGAAAATGGAAAAAAGTGCTGCAGACTTTTATGATGATGCGGGTGGTGCCTGAGAACCAAGACTATTTCTTTTTAGCCTAATTGTCTGTCATGTGAACTCACCCCTCATGAATGAACTCGGACATGGCCTGACACTCACTGACCAGCTGTGGCATCTTGGACCTCACTACGACGTAGCTCAAGATCGGGAGCAGGTCGTCAGCACCACTGAACACAAATAATATTGTATGTACAAACTCTATTTCATTTCATCAACAATCAGTGAGTGAGTATGGTTTTATGCCGCTTTTAGCAATATTCCAGCAATATCACGGCGGGGGACACCAGAAATGGGCTTCACATTGTACCCATGTCGGGAATCGAACCCGGGTCTTCGGCGTGACGAGCGAACGCTTTAACCACTAGGCTACCCGACTGCCCTCTTTTAACAATCAATATAAATCCATTAAATACCTTATATGAAAGCTGCTACACAAATACATAACTGCGTTTATCTGAGTTCTGTACTCCCTTCTTAAACATCTGGTTTAAATATTGTCATGTTATTGTGTCCCTTTCAGGCCTTCATTAACCCTATTCTGTGCATAAATGTCAATGCACAAGTAGAATCCACAGCTTCTTTGTTTCGATCTTACCCGTGAAGATCTGGGTTAGAATAGGTCTTCGGCAACCCATGCTTACCGTAAAAGGCGACTAAAGAGGCGACTAATGGGATCGGGTGGTCAGGCTCTCTGACTTGGTTGATGCAGGTCATCGTATCCCAATTGTGTGGATCGATGCTCATGATGTCAATCACTGGATTGTCTGGTCCAGACTCGATTATTTACAGACTGCCATCATATAGCTGGAATATTGCTGAGTGCGGCTTTAAACAACAAATAAACAAACAATTTGTTTCGATCTGTGGTCTAACACAGATAAGTTTGGCCACCAACAGAACTCTAATTTCTGTCACTGACTCGAATGATAGAACAATTTGACAAAAAACGTGTCACAAGCTGGATTTGAACTGGCAAAGTCTCCCCTGAAGGATAACGAATGTCTTTTGCCACGGTGACATGGAAGAAATTGTAGGAAATTACCATATCTACTGGTGAAATGTGTGATTTATGCAGTATGTTTTATGTTATTCCAGACATTGTATTTACAGGTTATTTGGGAGCTTTTCGTTCATAGCAACGGATAGAAATGAAAATACATTTATCTTGATCAGGGAAATGTTTGCTCATAATAATAATATTAATGTGACTGATAAATGTGCTTGAGTTGGTCTTATACTTGTCCCAGGACATTTCATAACGTAAGTTAGCAAAGAGCAAGGTGCACGTGCGAAAAAGGCTCTGCTTGCATAACCCAGAGGCAACTCACACAGTGTTCTCACCGTTAGCAGAGATTTCTTGAATATCTCTTAAATACTGTAATCAAAACATTGTTGTTTAAACATTTTAGGTGCTGGGGTTCTTAAAATGTTGGCCATGGTTGAAGTAGCCTTGGAGTGAGTGAGTGAGTGAGTTGGGTTTAACGCCGCTTTTAACAGTATTCCAGTTATATCGCTGCATGTCAGCTCAATGTGGGAGGAAAGCCCGAAGTGATGCAGGTCTCAGACATTTACCACTTTTGGTGAAACCCACAAGCATGGGTATGGTTCTGACAAACCAAGAAACATCATAGGGGTGAACCGTGATTCGAACCCTTAATCATAGGTTTCTGACGTGCCCAATGGACACAACTCGGCGCCTCAGACGACTGGGCCACCCATACCCCTGAAGTAGCCTTGGAGACTGGTATCTAATCGTTGAAGTGGTTAGTTAGACCACGAGGTGTGATCATGGTCTAACTAACCATTTCAATGATTAGACAGCAGGTCCTCATGATCCAACGTACATCACACAAAAACTATAATATACAGTTACTATGGAAACTAGATATGGATGTACAGAGATCGGGGGGGGGGGGGGGGGGGGGGGGGCAATCTGTGTACTAACAAACAGATATGATTTTTGCAGAGTCATTACAAATATGTTGCACTGTATTCTGCCAAATGATTGAATGAAATATCATAACTGTTCCAGGACTGACAGATCCCATATATATAAACAGCCTGGTGTTTCTGGACTTACACGCTAGGTGGCGTCTTCCTGCTGGGGTCTGCTTCCCCGGAACTGTAGTGCTGCTCCACACACGTACACACCTCCCGACACACGCGCACTGAAACACAACATGGGCGATAGGTGAGAGAGTGAGAGAGTGAGTGAGTGAGTGAGTGAGTGAGTGAGTGAGTGAGTGAGTGAGCGAATGGCATGTCATTTTTGGTCTTTCAACTTCTGTGTATGATTTATTGACTATAGTTATGGGCATAGTTAATATCTAATGAGAATTGCCTGTACAATACATGCACAAAACCCAGCTTGCTGAGCACTGACTGTACGAGGAGAGGACCTACCCACACACTCCAGCTTGCTGAGCACTGACTGTACGAGGAGAGGACCTACTCACACACTCCAGCTTGCTGAGCACTGACTGTACAAGGAGAGGACCTACCCACACACACCAGCTTGCTGAGCACTGACTGTACAATGAGAGGACCTACCCACACACTCCAGCTTGCTGAGTACTGACTGTACAATGAGAGGACCTACCCACACGCTCCAGCTTGCTGAGCGCTGACTGTACAATGAGAGGACCTACCCACACGCTCCAGCTTGCTGAGCGCTGACTGTACAAGGAGAGGACCTACCCACACACTCCAGCTTGCTGAGCACTGACTGTACAATGAGAGGACCTACCCACACACTCCAGCTTGCTGAGCACTGACTGTACAATGAGAGGACCTACCCACACACTCCAGCTTGCTGAGCATGGTGTAGTACTCCTTCACCTTCTGCAGCTCCATCACTGCCTGATTGTATGGAATCCTGTTCTCGCCATCAGAGGACACCAGCCACAGCTTCTTAGACACACCAAAGTCTTTAGGTTCTGAACCCTTCTGTGAAGTCATTCTGTATGCCAGCTGGATTTCTCGGGGTTTGTTTGCTAACCTGATAACATGAAAACAACAATTAGGAGTTTTGGCTTGATTTATAAAATATAATTTAGAGTCCCTTAACAAGCATCACCCTACTATTGAGAAATGTATCTCAGTGCATAAATAGTATTAAATACATTTATATATATATATATATATATATATATATATATATATATATATATATATATATACACAAGTCACATGTCATCAGCCCTGTGAATATCCTGGGTAGAATAGGTCTTTAGCAACTCATGCTTGCCGTAAAAGGCGATTATGCTTGTCGTAAGAGGTGACTAACAGGATCGGGTTGACGGGCTTGCTGACTTGGTTGATGCATGTCATCGTATAAAACTGTGTGGATTGATGCTCATGACATCAATCCCTAGATTGTCTGTTCCAGATTCAATTATTTACAGACCGCCGTCATACAGCTGGAATATTGCTGAGTGTGGTGATAAACAACAAACAAACAAACAAAACATGTCATCACGTATAACCTGTCAGCCATCAATTGTTGTACAGAGACAAGATATCAGCTTTACACCAGGCATCAGCAACAACAGCAAGACTGGTGCTTGTTGTTTAATGCTGCACTCAGCAATATTCAAGTTATATGACATTTGTAAATCATCATGTCTGGACCAGATAATCCACTGATTGACATCATGAGCATTTTGATAGGATGACTTGCATCAATGACAGTATCTGAAATAAAATAAATTCCCAGACTGCCATCCGGAACAACAGACTTTTGAATCTGCAGATTCTGACTTAACTCTTCAGGCACTAAGTAAAAGAAATCCAACTTATTGTGACAAATACCTCCACACGCAGATTTACTGCAGGTCATGAGGACCGATTAGAATTTGAAACTACGGAGATCTACCTGCCTCGTGCCTACACCCGGGCAACCCGTGAAGATTCCGGGGTAGAATAGGTCCTCAGCAACCCATGCATGCCGTAAAGGGTGACTATGCTTGTCGTAAAAGGCGACTAACGGGATCGGGTGGTCAGGCTCGCTGACTTGGTTGATGCATGTCATCGATCCCAATTGCGTGGATCGATGCTCATGATATTAATCACTGGATTGTCTGGTCCAGATTTGATTATTTACAGACCGCCGTCATATAGCTGGAATATTGCTGAGTGCAGCGTTAAACAACCAACCAACCTACACGCGGGCACTCATTTCGAACACTGATAAACGAAGTCAGTGAGCTGGACAAGCCAGGGTTGCCGAAGATCAACTGTTACCGAAGTACTGTCAGAAACACTAGAAAATACTTTTCTGGCTTCATTTAATAAATACAAATCAAAGGGCTATGAAATTAGCATATATCAAAATAACACAAAGCTACCTTATTTAGCCATCTTAACTGACACTGTGATTGGCCTAAAAGTGCAAAATATTCATATGTTGTCATGTAGTGAGTGAGTGAGTTATTATTTAACGTCACATGGGCAGTATTTCAGCCATATCGTGACGAGAAGTTATACATTTATGATATATATATTTAGACTAAATAAAAAGCTGTCAACGATGGACAGTAGAATAACTAGAATATCACAGATTTGATTTAAAACTAGTTGAGAATATTAAAAAACAGTAAGCATTAATGAACACCACAATATAAAAATGGGCTAGAAATCGTCAGCCACTGAAGGGAGATCACCATACTGGGGACCATGGGGACTTACAGTGCCTTTGCTTCCTGTATGGACCCCGGCAGGATTTATATCATCCCTTCAGTCACTGGCGACAGTGTACCAGTTAAGCCTTAGATTAAAATAACGAATATACTACGTTTAAAATCCTGGCATGCAGAAAATACTTCGAATGATATGGGACGTACATTCCCTCGTACGGGGACAATAATTTTACGCTACTTCAACCACCCTCGAGGGTACAGACACTGTTGTCATGTAAGTATGAAACAGACTATAGCCTGAAGTAATTACTTAACATCTGTCTTGCTGTGATGACCTCACAACAGCCCCTCCACTAAGCTGGGGGTGGTCTCAAAATATTGTTGTTTTTGTACTTAATGTGATATGTTGACAGGGGTACCAATTGCGATGTGTACTGCATTAGTAGCCACATCTAGTGAGTGAAATGATTCGTATTTCCCCAGGTTTCAAGGTAATGACCTGGAAGCCCTGACTGTGATAGTCATGAATGGTGTGGCGATAATGTGACCTAGACAGTATGGAATATTTTCCCCTTAAATTGCCTCGGTCATAGACCACCAGGCAGTCTACCTGGGTCTATAATTCCATCCCTAGTTCTACTACAAGTCGGAGGAACCTTCTGCTCATAAAGCTTTACACTGTTCGCCTAAATACACATGTATCAAAGCTGTCTAATATCCTTTTACGCCCCGGTTTTGGTTTTGAGATGAACCCTACCTTTTTTGTTTTATTTATCATACGGTAGACTTGTTGGAATGAAAGCCTTAGAGCTTTGGCAGTTCGGTAATACACCCTAATTTAACTATTATGATGTTTTCCCTCTATCTCTCTCAAGTATAAAGATTTGTACACATTTACTACTACAGACTCCATATCGTGTACCATGGCTATGCAAGTGTAATGCAACATGCCTCATGGGAGCAGTGTTGACAAAACAAATGCAGCGTCATTTTGTTATTTTTCAAGATGCACATCTAGAATTTTCTACAATTGACTTGATTAGTTATATGAATCACATGTTTTATAAAGACTTATAACAAAGTCGCATGAGCATATTTTTCTGTTCCATTTCAGACTTCCCTCATTGGACTTAGAATAAATTTTGTTTGAATTTTTATTCTTGCAAAATTGTCGATAGGACTCTTTGTGACTGACATACACCAAACCTCAGGTAGGTAGGAGTGTTGCTGGAACATTAGCAAAAAAGATAAACTGTGCTAAACAATTCATGAAAAATAAAAAAATAATTATACTTCAGACTGTTAAAAAAAGTAGATATTGCATGCCACAAAAATTACATTGTTGCAAGGTGTTTTTCCTATAAAAAAAATTAGACTCAGAGTTTTAAATAAAAAAAATATCTGGTACTGCAGCTGTAGCTGATAAAATATCTTATCTCGATACAGAATCCCAGCCCCCTGCCCACCCTGAATATCAAATGGTCGGTCTTTTAAGACCAGGTTGTTGATGAATACCCTGGATATAATTTTCAAAAACAGCCACAAGACTCTCTATAGGATCTCTGGTTATCAACATATGGTCTCTGATTCAACTCAAACCACAATTTCTCAAAACGCCCTACCTGAAGAGAGCAAGTAGGTATTTCCATATGGGTTTGAAGAAGGGCTCCTCCAAAGAAGCATAGCACTGATCCCTGCCCGTGGGTGAGTCCAGGTGCTCGTACGCAATGGTAAACATGACCAGTAGCTTCTCCATGAAGCAGTGCACATCCTGGGAAATACCGCTCAGATGTCTCTGATACGCCTCCTCTGCCAATTTAGTCATTTCAGAGCTGGATAATGAGTCTACTGATCGTGATGGCTTGAGTAAGCTGTCTGGAGTTGATACACTTGAACCAGAGTCCATAGATAAAGATTTTGGAATACCTTTTGAGGGCCGATTGTCAGTGCTTTCGGAGTGGCCATTGTTTTGGACCGATGACTGTGGTGCTCTTTGTGGATCGTGGGAAACGTTTGTCTCTAGTGGATCATCTTCAATTACATCATCATCCAGTTCATTGTCAAACAAATCGTCCATGTTTTCCTCATTATATTTTTCATATTCGGAAACCCTCTGAAGGAAAGTTTTAGCTTTTTCATTTTCAATTGTCAGCTGTTTTTCTAACTGTTTCCCTTTTGTAATAGCATTTTCGATATCTTCTTTAGAATTTTCACAGATTTCGTCCATTTCTTTCACATAACTTTCCTCATTTCCGCCAGAACTCGCATCATCCCCAATCACTGAGTCTGCTTCCGACAGGATTCGGGTTACTTCAGTTTCATCATCACAACTGAAATCATCTGCATTTTCATGACTAGATTTCACTTTACTTTGTGGCACTGTATTATTATTTTCCAAATGGCTAATATCTGTATCATCCTTAGCCATAACATCTTGTCTGTCGTTCACATCCTCATCCAAACGCTCTTGACTAGAATCTATTGAATCGCTTTCTAAATTCTCACCATTATTTGAGTTATTGCAATCATCACTAATGTATTCCTGAACACTTCCTGGCTGTTCCGTTACACTCCCAGAAGCACCTGTATCTGAAGGCTGTTCCTTGCTACTCCCTGCATCAGATAACTCCTCGACAGGGTAAAGATACACAGGCAGTGGCACTGTTATGTCCTTCAGTTTCATCATCTTGCTTGACACTAATGGGTAGAGTCGTTCGTAGATCTTGTACTGGTATGACTTCAAGAGTTGAGTCAGTGGATGATCTGAACACCTGAAAATACATCAAAATGAATGAGTGAGATAGGAATGCAACTCTGAACAGTGAGTGAGTGAGTATGTTTTCATGCCGCATTCAGCAATATTCCAGCAATGTCGCGTCAGAGGACTCCAGAAATGTACCTGCTACCCGACCGCCTGAATAGTATTTCGGTTATATCCCAGCAAGACTGACAGGGCCCTAGATGTCCATCACAAGCACAGAGCTGACAAATCAAGGAACACAAGCATAGAGCTAACAAACCAAGGAACACAAGCATAGAGCTGACAATCCAAGGAACACAAGCACAGAGCTGACAATCCAGGAAACACAAGCATAGAGCTAACAATCCAAGGAACACAAGCATAGAGCTGATAAACCAAGGAACACAAGCACAGAGCTGACAATCCAAGGAACACAAGCACAGAGCTGACAAACCAAGGAACACAAGCACAGAGCTGACAATCCAAGGAACACAAGCATAGAGCTGACAATCCAAGGAACACAAGCATAGAGCTGATAAACCAAGGAACACAAGCATAGAGCTGACAATCCAAGGAACACAAGCACAGAGCTGACAATCCAAGGAACACAAGCATAGAGCTGATAAACCAAGGAACACAAGCACAGAGCTGACAAACCAAGGAACACAAGCACCGAGCTGACAATCCAAGGAACACAAGCACAGAGCTGACAATCCAAGAAACACAAGCACAGAGCTGACAATCCAGGAAACACAAGCATAGAGCTGACAATCTAGGAAACACAAGCACAGAGCTGACAATCCAGGAAACACATACACAGAGCTGACAATCCAGGAAACACAAGCAAAGAGCTGACAATCCAAGGAACACAAGCACAGAACTGACAATCCAGGAAACACAAGCATAGCGCTGACAAACCAGGAAACACAACCGAGAGCTGACAAACCAGGAAACACAAGCATAGAGCTGACAATCCAGGAAACACAAGCATAGAGCTGACAATCCAGGAAACACAACCGAGAGCTGACAAACCAGGAAACACAAGCATAGAGCTGACAATCCAAGGAACACAAGCACAGAGCTGACAATCCAGGAAACACAAGCATAGAGCTGACAATCTAAGGAACACAAGCACAGAGCTGACAATCCAGGAAACACAAGCATAGGGCTGACAATCCAGGAAACACAAGCATAGAGCTGACAATCCAGGAAACACAAGCATAGAGCTGACAATCCAAGAAACACAAGCATAGAGCTGACAATCCAGGAAACACAAGCATAGAGCTGACAATCCAAGAAACACAAGCATAGAGCTGACAATCCAGGAAACACAAGCACAGAGCTGACAAACCAAGGAACACAAGCATAGAGCTGACAATCCAAGAAACACAAGCATAGAGCTGACAATCCAGGAAACACAAGCAAAGAGCTGACAATCCAGGAAACACAAGCATAGGGCTGACAATCCAGGAAACACAAGCATAGAGCTGACAATCCAGGAAACACAAGCAAAGAGCTGACAATCCAAGGAACACAAGCAAAGAGCTAACAATCCAAGGAACACAAGCATAGAGCTGGAAAAACCAAGGAACACAAGCACAGAGCTGATAATCCAAGGAACACAAGCATAGAGCTGACAATCCAAGAAACACAAGCATAGAGCTGACAATCCAAGGAACACAAGCATAGAGCTGACAATCCAAGAAACACAAGCATAGAGCTGACAATCCAAGGAACACAAGCATAGAGCTGATAAACCAAGGAACACAAGCATAGAGCTGACAATCCAAGGAACACAAGCACAGAGCTGACAATCCAAGAAACACAAGCACAGAGCTGACAATCCAGGAAACACAAGCATAGAGCTGACAATCTAGGAAACACAAGCACAGAGCTGACAATCCAGGAAACACATACACAGAGCTGACAATCCAGGAAACACAAGCAAAGAGCTGACAATCCAAGGAACACAAGCACAGAACTGACAATCCAGGAAACACAAGCATAGCGCTGACAAACCAGGAAACACAACCGAGAGCTGACAAACCAGGAAACACAAGCATAGAGCTGACAATCCAGGAAACACAAGCATAGAGCTGACAATCCAGGAAACACAACCGAGAGCTGACAAACCAGGAAACACAAGCATAGAGCTGACAATCCAAGGAACACAAGCACAGAGCTGACAATCCAGGAAACACAAGCATAGAGCTGACAATCTAAGGAACACAAGCACAGAGCTGACAATCCAGGAAACACAAGCATAGGGCTGACAATCCAGGAAACACAAGCATAGAGCTGACAATCCAGGAAACACAAGCATAGAGCTGACAATCCAAGAAACACAAGCATAGAGCTGACAATCCAGGAAACACAAGCATAGAGCTGACAATCCAAGAAACACAAGCATAGAGCTGACAATCCAGGAAACACAAGCACAGAGCTGACAAACCAAGGAACACAAGCATAGAGCTGACAATCCAAGAAACACAAGCATAGAGCTGACAATCCAGGAAACACAAGCAAAGAGCTGACAATCCAGGAAACACAAGCATAGGGCTGACAATCCAGGAAACACAAGCATAGAGCTGACAATCCAGGAAACACAAGCAAAGAGCTGACAATCCAAGGAACACAAGCAAAGAGCTAACAATCCAAGGAACACAAGCATAGAGCTGGAAAAACCAAGGAACACAAGCACAGAGCTGATAATCCAAGGAACACAAGCATAGAGCTGACAATCCAAGAAACACAAGCATAGAGCTGACAATCCAAGGAACACAAGCATAGAGCTGACAATCCAAGAAACACAAGCACAGAGATGACAAACCAAGGAACACAAGCACAGAGCTGACAATCCAAGGAACACAAGCATAGAGCTGACAATCCAAGAAACACAAGCACAGAGCTGACAATCCAAGAAACACAAGCATAGAGCTGACAATCCAAGGAACACAAGCACAGAGCTGACAATCCGAGGAACACAAGCATAGAGCTGATAAACCAAGGAACACAAGCACAGAGCTGACAATCCAAGGAACACAAGCATAGAGCTAACAATCCAAGGAACACAAGCATAGAGCTGACAATCCAAGGAACACAAGCATAGAGCTGACAATCCAAGGAACACAAGCATAGAGCTGACAATCCAAGGAACACAAGCATAGAGCTAACAATCCAAGGAACACAAGCATAGAGCTGACAATCCAAGGAACACAAGCATAGTGCTAACAATCCAAGGAACACAAGCATAGAGCTGACAATCCAAGGATCATAATCAAAGTGAACAAGCAGATCCTGGCACTGCCCTGTATATCTCTGCACTTGTTTGTCTGTTGTTTAACACATGACTCAGCATTATTCCAGTTAAACAGCACCATGTAAATAATCAGGTCTGGGTCCAGTGATCGATAAAATAAACAGCGATCCAAGGAATCAGGTTACAATACATGCAATGATGTTTGTTTGTTTGTTTGTTGTTAAATGCTGCACTCAGCAATAGTCCAGCTATATGATGGCTGTCTGTAAAGATCGAGCCTAGACCAGACAATCCAGGGATTGATATCATGAGCATCGATCCACGCAATTGGAATATGATGACATGCATCAACCAAGTCAGCAAGTCAGCAAGCCTGACCACCTGATCCTTTTACGCCTAGCATAGTCGCCTTATACGGCAAGAACAGGTTGCTGAAGACCTATTCTACCCCAGATCTTCACAGGCAATGAACCTAGTCAATAAGCCTGACAACTCAGTACATTAAGTCGCCTCTAACTACCAGCAGGGAATGCTGGGGCATATTTTACCCTGGAATCCCCATGGGGAACATATCTCTGTATCTCCTGTATCAGCTGGTCTATACACACCGGAGTATCTCCTGTATCAGCTGGTCTATACACACCGGAGTATCTCCTGTATCAGCTGGTCTATACACACCGGAGTATCTCCTGTATCAGCTGGTCTATACACACCGGAGTATCTCCTGTATCAGATGGTCTATACACACCGGAGTATCTCCTGTATCAGATGGTCTATACACACCGGAGTATCTCCTGTATCAGCTGGTCTATACACACCGGAGTATCTCCTGTATCAGCTGGTCTATACACACCGGAGTATCTCCTGTATCAGCTGGTCTATACACACCCGAGTATCTCCTGTATCAGCTGGTCTATACACACCGGAGTATCTCCTGTATCAGCTGGTCCATACACACCGGAGTATCTCCTGTATCAGCTGGTCCATACACACCGGAGTATCTCCTGTATCAGCTGGTCTATACACACCGGAGTATCTCCTGTATCAGCTGGTCTATACACACCGGAGTATCTCCTGTATCAGCTGGTCTATACACACCCGAGTATCTCCTGTATCAGCTGGTCTATACACACCGGAGTATCTCCTGTATCAGCTGGTCTATACACACCGGAGTATCTCCTGTATCAGCTGGTCTATACACACCGGAGTATCTCCTGTATCAGCTGGTCTATACACACCGAAGTATCTCCTGTATCAGCTGGTTGATAACGATCTCATCCTCTGGGTTACTCTGAAGCTTCTGTCTCCAAGTTACCAGCCATTTCTGTAAAAAGAATATTGTAAATATTGAATAGTTTGTTGCAGTAATTATGTAAGGTCTAATTCCTTTAATACTGACATGAAACCTAACTAAAATGGGAAAATTGAAACGACTAGGGCCTTCTTCAACAAAACAGTCTTTGAGTTACTCTTGCCGGAACTCACCAACTTTTCCGACCAGTCACAGGGTAAACGCTGGAGAAAGAGGGCCGCGGGGCCTGGTATCACAGCAACTGAAGGCAATGAGACCTCGAATCTCTGACCTTTGTTTTGATTGATTTGGTTGACAGTGATTACAAATGTGTCTACAAATAAGATTCAGTTTAAAAAATATAATTCTGGCACAATTGCGTGGTGAGTTGAGTTTTAGCTACCGGTATGTGATCTTTGACTCCTATAATACTTCCCACTTTGGATTTGACTTGTTAAAAAATATTTACCTGTATACATGATCATATTTTCATTCAACTATTACTTAATGCCACATAGCTATTTGTGGTGGCCAACAATTAGGATTGAGTGATTTTGGCTTAACGCCACATCAGCAATCTTGAAGCCATTTATGGTGACCTGAACGACTGATAGTCATTATTGTCTCCAGCTATTGATTGTGACCTAAATTATAAAGCTACTTAAGGATTTCTTCTTTGATAGGCATTTACTTTGTCAGTATTCACCCAGAGTAATTGCTCCGTCTCTCAGCAATGGGGTAACTTACAGCATCCTGCTCATACTCCAGAATCTTCTTGTATATCTGCCTCTGTTCCTGTTCTTCTTCAGACATTCCAGTAGGAGCTGTAAATCGCCTGCCACACAAACACATGCATGTCACTTCTCTTGCACAAAACAAAAAAAGGCAATTCTCTTTGATAAAACATGCAAGTCAATTCAAAGATACAATACAGTTATAACAAACTCAAAGGGGCCACTAATTTTAGTCCGTTATAACCGTAGTTCGTATTAAGCATATATACAGGATAAACAAAGCAAATGACCGGGATAAAAAACCAGTACATTATATCTGTCACTTTGTTATATGTGTGTCCATTATAAACATCCACAAATGCACAAAGACATATCAGGGACCAACCATTTAATGGGAGAGGGAGAGAGAGAGAGAGGGAGGGAGGGGGGGGGGGGGGGGGCCTGGAATTTTATCCAAAATGATAGTAAACAAAAAAATGCCAATTGAAAATGCCAACAAATATTTAGCTGATACTGTATTCGATGTTATAAGCGCCCGGAGCGCTTTAAAAATTAGAGATTGTTGGCTCTTATTAGATTATAATTTTGGTGAAAGCGTTGAAAGATCGTAAATTTCGTGGTTTACGCTGACAGCCTGAAATAATACAAAAGAAAAGTATGTGCGTATTATACACGACAGATATATTTTTCCAGAATTTAATTGCCCGTAATTAAGGGTGCATATAACACACGAGTGCGTATTAAACACGAATAAATAAGTCTTGTGAAAATGGATCAATCGGAAGGGTTCAAATTGGGATTGTTCACTAGCCAATATATCAGTAAATATCAGCGTGGGCGCTTATTAGAGCAGGGCGCTTATTACGTCGAATACGGTAGTTTTAATTATGTTTTTATTTATCTGGCTTTGCACCTGTAGCTAAAAACATATCTGGTCTCCATACAAAAAGCCATGATTCAAAAACAACTGGCACAAAATACACCATACTGAAATTTTAGTTTGGTGTAACATGAAATTTACTACTCAAAAGAAGTTATCAAACACCCGATTCTATCATATGGCTACAGCTAATCAGTCACGGCAGGACAGATCAACTATAGTAATATGACAGAACTAGTGTTCTTTTTGAGTAGTATACATGATGAAAGCAAAGACAATATTCGGTTTCGGTTTCTTCATCCCAGAGACCATACATTAGATTATATTCTATTATATTTTCTCTGTTCATCCAAAACAAAATCACAAGTTTTCCCTTCCTCTATCTCATTTCAATGTAATTAACATCACCTGTATTTGATTAATTTCCTGTGGAATATCTAAACTGAAAACTACATTACTTTTCAGTATCAGAAAGAGACCGCAATTCTGAGTCACCCTCCTGAACTGTCCCTGACCTTGGCTCGACTAAAGTGGGATACAGCCGACTGGCCCAGGTCAACAGACAAGTCAAGTCCTTTGGGGGATGTTAACTGGTCATTAAAGAGAACACAAACATGGCTCAAGTTATGCATCAACGCAGAAGGCAGCTTACACCTGCCAAGTACACATTGGTTCGTTGTCACACGTGGCCATGCTGATGGGCCGTTGTTTGTCTACTGCCAATCTAAGTCTCATAACTTAGGTGCGAATGTAGGAGAGGAAACTTCTTGAATGAAACTACTTTGACATTAATAAGAGTGACATTGCTGCCATGCCCACCATGTTTTAGGGCTTCAAAGAGTACTTGAGTACTCGGGCATGGGCTGAGTTTAGTGGGACAGTCCAGTTTGAAGGACTCGAGTACTCGACCAAGGGAGATAACTCTAATTTGGTCGACTCTCAATAAGTTAAAAGAAACGTGTCTTTATGTAACTTTTTTTATTCATGAGTAATGAATAAAATCAAATAAAAGTGTCAATAGCTTTTCTTTTAGTTATTTTTCGAAACAATACACTTATTTACAACCATTTCATAAGGATATTTCCTGGTTTAAAAAGTACTTTATTTCTTGTTTAAAAGGGATGTTTTAAGAAACTATTAAACTGTCGCAAGCAGTAGACCTATTCATTCTAAATTAGCGTTGAAACGTTAATCATCATTAATTCAATATTTTCATAAGATATTTATAACTGGACATCACTTTATTGAATATTAACATTGTGTTACTGTATCTCATTCTAAGTATCTCTTCAAATGTCGGGAAAACGGCTTAAAGAAGTCAACTGTAAATTTGCAAGCCTAGTAATCTTTCAATATTTTGTTTTCAATTAACAAAAAGGCAAATACTGACTTGAGAATTTGTGATAACATTGAAAATGTTACCGTAAACTTATTATCTATATTTTGTCATTTCCTGACAATTTCCTTCGGCGCTGGCATCAAATTATTTTATTTATCATATAAGCTATACCTAAGAAGCCAGCCTGCCAAAATCCAGCCAATCACCAGTCACAACATACATCACATGACGATCGCGTGTGCAATATTTTTTTCAGCCTGAACATGGCGTGTGTTACATTTAGATGTAAACAATTTCTTTTCCTAAGTTGACACTTCTTATTTCAATGAAGCTTCAGCGAATTAGCATGCAAACTTCAAAGGTATTTTATTTGATACGCGATCACAATGGTTTTCTTAGTGATCAATGATGTCATTGTGACTCTTTCATTTTGTATACTATAGGATAATTGCCAATTTTATTGAACAGATGTATAATTGCGGGTACTCAAGCACGAGCCGAGTCTTACCCCTCGGGTACTCGAGTCCATATTTTTGGACCCGTTGAAGCCCTACCATGTTTGACACAGGAAATATTGATACACTGTTGCTGTGTGTGACAAGTAGGGATGACTATTGCGATTGTATTGCAATAGTATAACGATAGTTGTCGACCACTGCAATAGTATTGCAATAGTGTGAAACCAACCTTAAGGATTGGTATTCTTTTTATCAATGTAATAAAATAAATCAAAGTATTGCCGATAATGTCAAAGTCGTCCATTTTCCTTGATGTCAATACTCAAACCAAAGGGAAGTAACTCTAATTGGAATCTGTCATAATCTTTGCTAATCAACACACAGCAGGTTTGAAATTTGACAATAAGAACATTTTCTGGTACAATAATTAACTAACAGCGACTATTGAAACTATTGATTGTAATGCATACCATCGACAATACCATTGGTATTTGTAAATTCCTATCAATATGGTGCAATCGGAGGGTAAGCTATTGCAATATATCGATAGTTCAACATATCGCACTCCAAGTGATCAGGGCACATCACCTTGACGATCAGGTGTTACAAATCTGAGGCATAATCTACATATATAGTCTGAATTATATTTTTAACAAGCCTCTCTATGTCTGAATAACCATGATATTTGACATGACCTTGAAAGTGGTAATAATGGATCATCAATTATTGCAAAATGTTTTATTTTGCCAGGAATGAAAAAAAAAAATTCCAGAGATGAACCCCATGTTTTACAATAAGCTTTCTTGTGTTCTTGAACTTTGGTGGACATTAGTGAAATTCTACTCCATTCTTGTTCATATCCTAGTGATCATTCCTGTCAAGCACTGTCCAATCAATATTCATAAGACTAAAGTTTGCATCGTCTCAGGGTATTGGTAAGAAGATTTCTCGTCGTAACTTAGATGGTGCCACAAATATGAAGTCTAAGTACCACCGTGACTATACTTTACTAATGAAACTACCGTATTCGACGTAATAAGCGCCCAGGGCGCTCTCAAAATTAGAAATAGGGGGCTCTTATTAGAATATTATTTTGTCAAAAAAAAACAGAGTTGAAAGATAAATTTCGTGGTTTATGCTGACAGCCTGAAACTTTTATATACGAGAGATATATTTTTCCAGAATTTAATTGCCCATAATTAAGGGTGCATATAACACATGAGCGCAAATAAATAAGTATTGTGTACATTGATCAATCGAAAAGGGTGCTAATTGGGATTGTTCACGAGCCAATATATTAGCAAATATCGCCGTGGGCGCTAATTAGAGCGGGGCGCTTATTACGTCGAATACGGTAATTACAAGTCATTTCACAATGAATGACATCAAAAGTGACCTTGGCAATAAACACAATCATGTTTGTTTGTTTGTTGTTTAACGCCGGACTCAGCAATATTCCAGCTATATGATGGTGGTCTGTAAGTAATTGAGTCTGCACCAGACAATCCAGTGACTGACAACATGAGCATCAATCCACGCAACTGGGATCGATGACATACATTAACCAAGTCAGCGAGCCTGACCACCCGATCCTGTTACTCGCCTCTTACGACAAACATAGTCGCCTTTTACGGCTGCTGAAGGCCTATTCTACCCCGGAATCTTCACGGGCCGACACAAATATGACACATGACAGCCATAAGTTTATTTAGCTATTCATAATTAATACCATTTGCTTACAATGTACTTTTCTTTCCATGAATCAAACCGGAATGTCCCTAGGTTCAAATCATGTTTCATAACGTGACCCCCAATGACCTTGCCCTGACTCAAAGGTCACCCAAAGTTGTAGCAATTGACATCAAATCCTAAACGCCGCACTCAGCAATATTCCAGCTATATGACGGCGGTCTGTACATAATCAAGTCTGGACCAGACAATCCAGTGATTGATATCATGAGCATCGATCCACGCAATTGGGATCGATGACATGCATCAACCAACTCTGACCACCCGATCCCGTTTGTCGCCTTTTACGGCAAGCATGGGTTGCTGAAGACCTACTCTACCCCGGGATCTTCACTTGTATCAAATCCTTGAGGTCATGTGTACATAGTTTTGCCAAATTCCCAAATACAATATTGTTGATAAAAAACCTTTTTGGCAGCAGTTTAAACCGAGTTACCCTAACCTTCAATGTCACCCTTTCATATCCTAAGCAGATACCCGGGGCATATAACTTCTGTTGAGAAAACACAATTACAGGGGTCTGCTTGACAATCTTGACAAGTTTCAACAGTCAAGGACAACAACTACACACAATAGCAGCTGCAAGAACAGTCTTTCCTTTCCAGCAATGATAGGGGAATGTTTGCCACAGGGCAGATAACATTGCTCTCTCACTCCCTGTCCGTGAAACAAGACAAGGTAACATAACACTGACAGGGTGCTCACCTTTGAGCTTGTTCCTCGAGTCGGCTCTGTCTCTCGTTCATCTTTTTGGCAAGCTTGTATAATGTCAGGAAAAACAGCTGAACGTGACATGTGACTGGCTTTAAATATTAGGATAATATACTTGTAATTACTGCTCAGTTTGCATTTTAATTTCGGTAAGAGCTACAGTTACCTGAAAAAATAAAATCAAAACTAAGAATGCACTATCATATACACACTAAATTCAATGTTAGACCTGAAGAAATATTGCTGGTCAGTAACTGGAAGCAAATCTTACCTCATACTATCAGTTAGGATAGATGGTAGTGGCAGCAAAAACATTTCACCATGCAGTGTTCCCATCTACCAGTAATTACCAGTTTTTAACCGGTAAATTTAGGCTTGGACCAGTAATTCATGTGACTGCCAGTCACTGTGTACCGGCAAATAATGTACTTTATAAATCTTTGTTATTTTATATAAGCATATAAGCTTGTCTGTTTCCATCCGGGTTTCCCCTTGTCTATTTTTAATGAAAGGAAATAACATTTTGCTTTGCTTCGAGAAAATTGAGACTGTATTTTTAGTAGTTCTAACTAAGTTACTTCAGAGATGACATCATTGCATTGAACATGATGTTGAAAGAATTAAAACCAGGTAAGTTTCATGTTTTTTGTTCGTTGAAAGTTGGGACTGACAAACATTAGGGGGATTGGTAATTTTTAGATTTTCCTGTCCACCAGGACTGCTTTAGATGATAGGCTTTGACATCCGTAAAGTACTGAATTAATATCATATCCTTTTCTGTATTGTAATAAATTGCTTCTAATTTGATCATAATTGCAATAAACAAGGAGTAAAACACCATAGGGCACACACTTGAGTAAAGGGACTATAAAATACTCACAGTTTTTTCCCAATAATCAGCACCTTTTCCATAATTTTTTCGAGGATCATCTTGGACAGATGTGATCAGTCACTTCCCCTACAACTCACACCCCTCATGTCCTGGTAACATCACATCGGAAGGGTCACTTCTGTACAGCAGTAACTACCATTGGCACCTTGCACATCTGACAGACAGGCCATTATGTCGTAACAGTTATCACATGGCTGTCACCTTTTTGAAAACTGCCATCATTAGCAGCAAACTAATTGGTTACTCTTTGCAAAGAACACGACTAATAAAATTGATAAGTATGATAACTGATTTTTTAAAGTGTAGGGCCTTATGATGAAATTTGAAAACTGAGTTTCTCGCGTATCCCGGATGTGTTTTTAGTCAAGTCTTTGAAAGGCATTTAGAAGTAATACACATAAGGAAGAGAACTCATGGATGTCAACTTCTTTATTTGTAGTGTCCAACAGCTGGTGTATAACTTGCCGTGAAAGTGACAAGCACCAAGGGGGCCAATACAATTAATTAGGTGATATGCTAACTGCCTTTCAGTTCATTAAGGGAATGGTATTAAATCCTTTGTGTCCTCAACTGGGTCAATGTCCGACACACATCACAACAGTTACATACATACTGGAATTAGAGCTTTGCTTAATGGAGGTGATTAATGAGGGAGGGATTAAGTTTGGTTGTTTTTTTCATGCCACTTCCAGCAATATTTAAGACATAACACAACTGGGGTCTTTAATAGAGTTCATTTGGATCCCCGCCCAGGTAGGAATCTTTGGAAATGAAAAGGCAGATAAAGCAGCAAAATTATCCCTTAAACTCCCAGAAATAAGCTTAAACTTACCCAGCTCAAAATCAGAAATCAAAAGTGTCACTTTCACAAAGAATCAACAAAAAATGGCAAAATATATACCAAAACTCAAATAGCCAAATCAGGAAAGTACTAAAAAAAACCCTAAATAAACCAAAAATACTACACCCATCCAAAAAAATCGACAGAATAATTACTTAACTACAAACAGGCCACACCAAACTAAATAATCACCGTAAAATAGCTAATCTACACACAACAGGAAACTGCCCACATTGCAAACAACAAGAAACACCAGAACACGTACTCATTCACTGCACACACTACCAAACACACCGAACAACACTACAGACCACCCTAAATCTTAAAACCGGACTTACACTAGAATCAATCCTAAATCCACAAAATAAATTAGAAAAATTCAAAGCCTTAGGCATATACCTAATTAAAACAGGACTAATTAGTCGCATTTAAACCCCCAATAAAATATTAAAACCAAAACTACCTTATCTAACAACCACCCAACACACACAGCTCCCTTAGTTCGTCCCCCACCCACTCTTGGCATTCTTTCCAAATCTCAAAATTTCAAAATTACTATATAAGTAACCCCTAAAGCCCCCCTCCTGGGTTGCACAAACTCACTTTTCCCCTTTTTGAAAACACATTAAATGGCCTGGCCGGGCTGTGTGCGACATACGCTTGCAGTCGGAAAGCGCACGTTAAATCTCCAACATAAGTATGTAAGTAAGGGGCACTAACAATGGGCCTTGCACATTGCACCTATGTGGGAATCTAACCAGGGTTATCCACATGGCATGCAAACACTTTAACTAGGCAAAGTGATGAAGATGATGCAAGATCCAGGATTTGGCAAATATATCCTTTTCCCTTGTGTATATCTTGGGACAGTGCAACAAAAAAATAACTGGTCTTGGAGGCCAGTTGTCAGCAACTAAACCAAGGGGAAGTTTTCACATATTTGTTTCACTAACTATTTTGTAATTCCAGTCCAATAATGCTACTTATATGGTCATAGGATAACAAAATAATGTGGCTGACATTTCATATTTCACACCAGTCAGTCAGACCACCTCGATTCTTAAATTACTAGTCCTAAATTAGTCTTTTGATTTAAACAGTATTTTATTTCCATTAATGTTCAGATTTTACATTAAATAGCATTACAAAATGGAAAAAGGATTAGCAAACAGGCCTATATTAATGCTTCTCCTAATATTGTACATTATACATGTAGATTGTAATGAAGTCTATAGAGCAGACATTAATGAGTAATATTAATTAGTCTTTTGGACAAGAGTATTTTTTAACCCTGATGACGATGGACCTTAGGACATCACTCTGTGCATGTGTGCATGCGTGCGCACGTTCAGGCGTCTCAAACAGTCTTTGATCTGTGTATGGTCAAGTGTCACTCTTGAGGTTAGACACCCAGAAATTTACTGCTGTCTTGCATAAAATACATAAGAGCAGGGGGTCTGTGTGAGGGCCAAAGTAAAAACCTATGTGACAGTAAAACACCACTTCATCCTGTTACATGATACCAGGCACAGGAAAGACTATACGGTAGTCTTTATTCATTATGTATTGTAGGCCACAGGTCCATTATACATTACAGAGTATACAGTGAGAGAGAAACATTATAATACAAAATTTTAGGTAATTTACACAAGACATACTTTCATTGCTTTATAAATGAATACAGATAGATTTTGAATGATTATTACATTATTTGATGTCATTAAAATATTAAACGTATGTATGGAGGGGTACAGGTAAAACTTTTAGGGTATATATTTTCGTCTTTATAAGAAAAGACTACACAGAGCTCCAGATAAGCTTATGGTGTTGTGGGTATTTTACCCATGCATTTAAAAATCTTTGGGTATCAGTAATTCTATCTGGGTATTCAAATTTCTGTTACGCACTAGTTTTTACACATGTGGGTATTTAAGTTAAATATTTAAAAACACTATTCATCTAGGCCCTGCAAACTGGTTTCGTTTGGGTTTGAGAGCTTTATAGGACTCAAAATACCACGATACTTCCACAAGAAAGTGTGATGGCAAATGATCATGATGTAACTGTCATCGTGGACTCTGGCAAGGTTGACGGAATGCCCGTTATAATTTCAAAATAAGTTGCTGATTTGCTAATCGAATACGCAGGGTTACTTCACAATATTTTGATGATACGCACAAGTTTTATTTTGTAGCGTATCTGTAATGTTCGTTGCGTATTTGATTTGATTTTACTGCGTATTTCTGCATTTCTGATGCGTATTTTACGCAGATACACATCTTATCTGGAGCTCTGCTACAGGCACTTCACTGATAGCACGAAGTCGTTTGTGAATCGTTAAGACAATAGTGATAATTATCCCCTATGGAGGATTAAGAATGTACTCGTTAAAATCACATTTTCCGAGTTGATCTTGTTAAGGCAAAATATGACCATGCTACTCTAGACAATGGAGATGGAGTCAACTTTCAACTGGATTTCAACTTTATAATAAATATCTTCCACTGCAATGTTTCGGTGAAGCAAGTAATTAAATAATTTGCAATCTACAAGTCCACTCTGTTTTCATTATTAGGACAGCTTCCAAAATGCCATTTAATGATATCTTAACAACGTCCCCTAAAAGATAAAATGAGTAAAGTGGGTTTAATGCCACTTTGAACAGTATTCCAGTCACATCACGGTGTGAGATGTCTAGATTTTCAAAACGATCTTATCTAAGAAAAATCTTAACAACTTGCGTTAAAAGATAAGATATCGTAACTCTGACAGAGAACTCATTTGTCTTGGAGATAGAAAAGCAGGGTGTTTCCCAATGAAGTCAAGAGGATTTCCCAGCTGCAAGATTGTTTAATAAATACTACTTTAGATGAGACAGGTGTTTGTTTTATACTGTTTTAGATGAGACAGGTGCTTGTTTACTACTGTTTTAGATCAGACAGATGCTTGTGTAACACAGGAAAGGATACAGCTTCCTCATGGATCTTGGCTATAGCAAGGTTCTCCGCCATCTTCCTCTGGACAGTCAGACTCTGGAAGGAAATGATGTTCCACATATATCTTGGTCAGTACCTTCCAGATAATCACAAGTACAAGTACTCTCCAGACTACCTCTGGTTCGTGCATTGTTTAACACCGCACTCAGCAATGCTCCAGCTATGTGACAGTAGCCTGCAAATGAGTATGGACCAGACAATCTACAGATTGATATTATGACACACAATCCACTCTGTGGTGATAAGGTGACATACACTCCACCAAGTCACCTGGTCTGACCACTCAGGCATTGCTTGGGAACAGTTCTAACCTGGAATCCCCTACTTCCAGGATTGATGACGTCAATACCAACTTGCACGCACGCACGCACGCACGCACGCACGCACGCACGCACGCACGCACGCACACACATTTAAAAATAAATAAATTATTCTAAACATCCCAAACTATCAAAAAGGCACCAGTTCACTGCTAGATCTGTCTGTGTGCCATGTTAAGAGACGAAATATTGTATGTTCTTCAAGAACTGCTCAGGAACGAGCACCACTGCCATTTCTAGCCTTAGTCAAAGTTGTTGCTATGGAAACTTGAATTTTCTTCTTTTTTTTTTAAATCTCAAACTATCAAAAGGCACCAGTTCACGACTAGACCTATCTATGTGCCAAGTTTGGTAAAGAAATATTGTACTGCCTTCAAGATCTGCTGGCGAGAACAAGCATGTGAAGTTTCAGCTACATTGTTTACGATGGAGGATGCAGGATGCACGCCACACACCGGATAAACAGACCCTGACATATGCTCACTTGACTTTTAGTCGGGTGAGCTAAAAATGCATCTGTGACCTACCAGCATGGAGGCCACACTGGTGGCCTGACCCTTCTGTATCCGGGCCAGCCTGGCCTTGTAGGCAGACATCAGCTGTTGGTTCTGTTTGTATGCGATCACCATGGGGCTGGGGCCATGTTTCCTGGAGAAAATAGGTCACCCTGTCACACTTTAACAGGTCAGAGTCTATCAGCCACATCATCAAGCTAAACTATACATGGCAAGACAGATTAACAATAGTAACATGAAAGAATCGGATGGTCCTTAACTTTGTTTGAGTAGTATAGTTGACTTTAGTATCCCAGTGACCAGTACGTACACAAAGCGATGTTAGCGCTAAGATGACCCAAAGACGTATATGGAATATATTGTATGTACGTCCGTGGATGACCGTAACCCCCATATTTTAACATAAGCTTACAATAGTCTTAGCGCTAAGATCGCTTTGTGTAAGTGGGCCCTGGTCAAAACAAGTTATCCCAAGTTATCCCAGTAACCTAGCATTTTTACCTTCACTTGTCAAGAGACATCAGTTGAAAACTGTTACGTTAGCAAAGTGTGTGTTTGTTGCTTAACATCACCCTCAGAATTCCAAGAGACCAATGTTTACTGTATTAACTAGCTTGTGTGTTATGATGGTAATGGGAGGAAAACTAAGGTATCATACTGATGCAGATTTACTTGTACAATGTGAAATGAGCAAGCAGTAAGGTTCCAGTACACAGCTGAACAGCTCAATGACCCAGTTTTATGCAACAAGATTTAAATGGTGGCTCCACAAACTTCGTTTAAAAGAAAATTTGTTCGTGCATGGTTTGAATTAGTCTGTCATGACATGTTTATTTCCAACCCTTAAAAACAAGTCAGTGATTGAATGTTGTGTTATGCCACCGTCATTACTATTCCAGCCATATCACTCAGTCTGTATGTTGGTTGGTTGGTTGGTACTCGGCAATAGTCCAGCAAAATGGCGGCGGTCTATAAAAAATCGAGTTTGGACCAGACAATCCAGTGATTAATATCACGAGCATCGATCCACGAAATTGGGATCGATGACATGCATCAACCAAGTCAGCGAGCCTGACCACCCGATCCCGTTAGTCGTCTTTTATGACAAGCAAAGTCACCTTTTATGGCAAGCATGGGTTGCTGAAGACCTACTCTACCCCGGAATCTTCATGGGTCCGGTCTGTATGTAACCAAGTCTGGATCATGGAAACCAGTGTTTACCAGCATAAGCAACAATTCCCACTATAGAGGTAATCACTCACAATAGTCCCAGGGATATCTTCTGCTCCTGAGTGCCAATGGGGTGACTCTATTTAAGTATGGGACCTAGTGATCAGACACACAAACCTCAGGTGCTGGGTACAGGGCGATTCTAAGCGAGGGACTGTCCATTTGAAACATTGAAACAAATTTTACCCAAAAGATAAATTGTTTACTGGACATGTTGTTGTCTTCAGCAATTTATGCTTGTTGTAACAGGCAACTAACGGGATCGAATGGTCAGGCTTTGACTTTGTTGATGAATGTCATCGTATCCCAATTGCGTAGACCGATGCTCATGATTTCAATCACTGGATTGTCTGGTCCAGACCCAATTATTTACTGAGAGCCGTCATGAAGCTGAGCGCAGCATTAATCAAGAAGCAAACGAACAAATCAAATCAGAGGGTCTGGAGTTTAATGATTTTATGTCTGCTTCAAATGCAGGAACATGAATTTCAGGTATGTTTGTTTGTTTGTTGTTTAACGTCGCAATATTCCAGCTATATGATGGCAGCCGGTAAATAAACGAGTCTGGACCAGATAATCCAGTGATTGAAATCATGAGCATCGATCCACACAACTGAATTGCAGGTACTCTGTTTTAATGGGACCAGTATTATTAAGAGGCTGAACATAATAATGGCAGCAATGAATGCCAGGGCATGTTAGCCCACAAGACAAAACACAGTTGCTGTTAATATCTGCTGTATTTGTTGATGGGGCGTAACACAATTTTCCCTCACTAACTCGCATATAGGAGCTGACCTTTCCCGAAGGAAAGTACCTCTCCACGGCCATCATGGCACGCCAGTCCCCATTTCACTCCAATGACAAGTATTGGTATTGGAACATAATCTGCCTCAGAAAGCTCTCTCAGAGAGTTCTAAGCACTGGCAGTTTATGGATGTTGGTTGGTTTGTTGTTTAACGCCGCACTCAGCAATATTCCAGCTATATGACGGCGGTCTGTAAATAATCGAGTCTGGACCAGACAATCCAGTGATTAATATCATGAGCATCGATCCACGCACTTTGGATCGATGACATGCATCAACCAAGTCAGCGAGCCTGACCACCCGATCCCGTTAGTCGCCTTTTACGACAAGTGTAGTCACCTTTTACGGCAAGCATGGGTTGCTGAAGACCTATTCTACTCCGGTACTCCGAAATCTTCACAGGTCAGTTTATGTGTGTAAGAAAAAATGCAGTGCTCTTGTTTGATGCCAATGTGTTGGAAGGTATACATATGGTGAACCCAGGCTATGACAAACAGCGTACTGGCACAAGAATCATACCTAGCATTCATTATTACAAGGTCAAATATAGAACTTGAGATTCTGACATCAGGTCAATATTTACTCAATATTCTAAAACATTTCTGTGGTTGTCAATATCACAACAAATGCTTTTCTAACAAATGTCATATTTCGGATAACACTTTCTGAGTCCGGGATTCGGACCCACACTGCCAGAGTGAGGCACCTAATCGCCAGCACACAAAGTCAGCGATCTAACCCACTCAGCCACAAGGCTTCCACAAAATGAAAGTCCGACAATTGGTAGTCTAGATTACGTACTTTGTGTACCCCTCTGACATGTGTAAACATGCTTTTCTGGCGAGAAATTTGGATGAGAAATGATTTGAAATATCAGTTCGTTAGAACTTTTCAACACTGTTTTGTGTCTTGTTTGTTAACACACTTCATTTCATCAATCAATGGCATCTATTCTCAACTATAGACATTATCGACAGTTTAATTGTTCAGTCCTGCTTGTCATAACCTGGATTTACTCTACAGTGTGGTTGGTGTGGTTGGAAAGTTTGGTTTCTACAGGTACATGGTCAGATTTCCATTTCATTCTGTGGTCAACATGTTTTTCGCAATTGAAATAATCAACATATTCAGTGATATTTATTCTAAAAGTAAACACACTGATTCTTTCACGCTATGAAGCCTCCCTGGTGACTGTCCACAAGTACTGCCATAGCTCTGCACAGTGATATCTTCTCACTGAGAAATATGTTTGGTTGGTTGGTTGGTTTGTTGTTTAACGCCGCACTCAGCTATATTCCAGCTATATGACGGCGGTCTGTAAATAATCGAGTCTGGACCAGACAATCCAGTGATTAATGTCATGAGCATCGATCCACGCAATTGGGATCGATGACATGCATCAACCAAGTCAGCAGGCCTGACCCCCGATTCCGTTAGTCGCCTTTTACGACAAGCATAGTCACCTTTTATGGCAAACAGAGAAATATGTAATGATTGGTGGCACTCACTGGGAGCCTCAGATGCCTTTTGCAAAACTTATTATCATACCTCAATGTCAGAATGAGGAAATCTGAGGTTCACGTGACCTTGATAAAATATGATGTTTCCCACCTTGGAGGGTAATATATTTCTCAGCAGGCGAATAAAATCCCTTATACCCCACCATGAGCAAGTCAGGCTGCACATGGCTCTCTGAGAGGCAGAATAAATTCTTTATACCCTGCTTCCAAGCAAAGGCCGCACGCTTTTTCCGACAAGAGGGATAACTTCAGGGTGACTTCAGGTCATGTGACATAGCACAAGCTAACCTCCGCTTAATCGAACAGCTATTTTCTATAAATTTTGAATTTGTTCTGATCCTTTCATAATGTCATATCAAAACATGTAGGTAAGACAAATTCGTTGCAGCAGCATCACTCAGGGTATATGTGTCCTTTATCAGGGATGACAACCATCACTGGATTTTTTAATTGTCGTCAGCACAATTTAGTAGTCTAGGGCTAGTGGACTGGCGTCAAGTTTGAAGGCTGGTTCCTGGAGGTATAAACGTAACGCCACATTCATAACACGCGAAAACGATTATGAGATGCAACTTATTTTGATGAATCTCTGTTTAGATAATGTCAAATTTGCCTAGCGCTCACATAGTCATGAATGATATCTTTACAGATGGCAGGGTACAAAAGACCACAGAATGGGATGTTTTCACATATTACATATGCCGCACACAGATATAATTTTAATATAATGCCAATCTGACCTTGTACCTTTAAGGAAACCAACTCACAACAAGCAGTGTGGGTGCACAGCAGTTACTGTTGATGAATCACACAGGCTTTACATCTGTTACCAATTGTTTGTAAGAATATGCAATGATTAAATCTAACAATGAAAAAATATTCATGATATAAATTCAGTGGGTTATATTTGATTTTTTACATACATGTATAAAGATTTAAGAAAAATATTTACACATCAGAAATACAATGAAATCTGTCAAGAGTGAACTCTGACTAATCTGCATTTACAGTCTGGTATTTACTGTTAGACATAATGTCTTTTAACCTTCATCTCCTGCTAAAACTCCATAATCTGGACCTCTGTCTAAACCAGACTAACAAAACGGTCCTACAAAAATCCAGTTTAGACAGATTCCAGTGTAGCAGCTGAGTACAGGGATTCTCCAGTGACAGGTCGCTGGTTTCATTGAATGTTCAATCAAACCGTGACAACATAAATTTTGTCTTTACCATTTCCCAACCATTTTGCCTTCACTGAAACAAAATACTGCTAAAAATAAATGAATCCTGTGTCCTGGATGATCCTCGAGGAGGAAGAGGACACACATCCAGATGACACATTGTTGCTACTTGATCCCAACTCTGATAGAGACATCAGGTTGGTAACAGTTGGTGGCTAAAATAGCCCAACAGAAAGCAGCTTGTGAACTAAAAACTTAATGATTGGGCTGGTAAGTCTAACTTGATAACAGCCATATCATAATTCACCTGCACAGTTGTTAGTGTCACAGCACACACGGGACAAGTCATGTATTCCAGGGTCGGGGGAGCTGGCCATTGTTACCCATGGCAGTTCTAAACAAAGGGAACCATCCTTCTCCAAATACTGGGACCTATACAGTACTGTAGGATCAAAGATGCTCATTTTTTATTCTGAATACATTTTCAGCCATAAATTTCCATTTTGAAAGACTGTTCATCAAACAGGTTTATTTATTCCAAAAAACAACAACAATACTAGTGGTGAAATAGGATGATTTTCGATGGTGTTTGATTTTTTTTACATATTCAGTGTTCCCTCGTTATTGCACTCTTTAATATAGCTAACTTGGTTTTTGCGAGCGGTAACTCATGGCTCCCAAAATTTACTTACATTTTTAATGAACTCAAGGTTTACAATGACACAATGTTTTCCCCATCTCAGAAAACATTATGAGCTGATCACACCGAGGATCAAACACCGGAAATAACTGTCAACAAATCCGAACTGAAGTACACAATTTAATCCCATTATTATACTATCTAGTCATGAAAACGTGTTCAATGGATATCTGGACTTTTGTTTGTGATATATTTTATCAATTTTATTCAAAATTTCAGTATGTACACCATTTCGGGAAGGTTCCTCCATAAATCAAACATTTACTTGTGGCTGGCCTAACATTAAATGTGATCCTACCCAAAAATAGTACCACCCAGTCTCTGAACATTTTACCCTCCCCCCTTTCCCCCCTCCCCTGTAATACATGGCATGTCCCTCAGCACAAGCGAGTGTATGGGTAAGCCACCTGCTGAAGGCATAGGGGGAGTTGTCAGGGTTGAGAGGTGGGACAGGCTGGGAGAACCTTGTGGCCAGCCGGAGGTCCAGTGTCTGGTCAGCTGGTCTTCTCTCTGCTGCAGGTGCCCCCTGCTGACCAATAGGGGACTTCTGGGTCGCAACTGAAAAATACAATTCAGTGTCAAACAGGTAAAAAACATGTGTTTTCGATGTAGAGTTGGGTTACCTTGACACTGAACAGAGCTAAATTGAATTGTGCACAGAGCATGCAGTGTAAAGTTCCAACTTTCCTTTTTGGATGGTTGGTTGGTTTGTTGTTTAACGCCGCACTCAGCAATATTCCAGCTATATGACAGCAGTCTGTAAATAATCGAGTCTGGGCCAGACAATCCAGTGATTAATATCATGAGCATCGATCCACACAATTGGGATCGATGACATGCATCAACCAAGTCAGCGAGCCTGACCACCCAATCCTGTTAGTCGCCTTTAACGACAAGCATAGTCGTCTTTTACCACTTGTCTTTTTTATAATAAAAAAGTCTGTCCATAAAATGCAGCACCTACCGATTGCCTGTATGAGAGAGGCCAGTCTGTCCATACACTGCAGCACCTACCGATTGCCTGTATGAGAGAAGCCAGTCGGCACCTACTGATTGCCTGTATGAGAGAAGCCAGTCGGCACCTACTGATTGCCTGTATGAGAGAAGCCAGTCGGCACCTACTGATTGCCTGTATGAGAGAAGCCAGTCGGCACCTACTGATTGCCTGTATGAGAGAAGCCAGTCGGCACCTACCGATTGCCTGTATGAGAGAAGCCAGTCGGCACCTACCGATTGCCTGTATGAGAGAAGCCAGTCGGCACCTACCGATTGCCTGTATGAGAGAAGCCAGTCGGCTGCTACTGATTGCCTGTATGAGAGAAGCCAGCCGGCAGCTACTGATTGCCTGCATGAGAGAAGCCAGTCGGCACCTATTGTTTGCCTGTGTAAGAGAAGCCAGTCAGCACCTACTGATTGCCTGTATGAGAGAAGCCAGTCGGCACCTACTGATTGCCTGTATAAGAGAAGCCAGTCGGCTGCTACTGATTGCCTGTATGAGAGAAGCCAGTCGGCACCTACCAATTGCCTGTATGAGAGAGGCCAGTCTGTCCATGCACTGCTGGCCCAGCTGGATGTGACGGAGAACTTCCTTGGAGGCCACGACTCTGCCCCCTGCAGAACGACGACAAACAAACAGTACAGAACAGTGAACAAGTAACAGCAATGAAAAGTGTGTATGTTTCCCTGAAGCATCTTGATCACAGTCATAATGAAGAAACGTATGTCCAGTAAACAGAGATGAATAGAGTGGATGCAGAAAAAAAACATATTGCATCCCAAAGAGGCACACAATATTATTTATTGTATCAAATTCTTGACGAGAATTGTAACAGTCCTGTTATTAAAGTAATTATCACTACACAATTTCATTACTTTACACCCTCATATTTCCTGTAAGGACCCTTGAAATTAGTAATTGAGGGGTAAACACTGAAGTCACTCACTGAACAGTATGGACATTTCTGTACAAACATTTCTGTAGAAACATCCATGTTTAAGATTATTCAATACATTTGAGTGAGTGAGTGAGTGAGTGAGTGAGTGAGTGAGTGAGTGAGTGAGTGAGTGAGTGAGTGAGTGAGTGAGTGAGTGAGTGAGTGAGTGAGTGAGTGAGGAATATCACTGTAAGACATTTTTAAACTTTTACTAATCACATTCAAAACCGATCCATGAACAGTTTGATGTGGCTTTAACTAACCAGTCTACTAGGTAGACACTTAAAATAAATATTTCTCCCTAAAATCCTTTCTCAAGTGACTCTTTATTTGCACAGGTGGCCGAGTCAAGTAAGACGCTGTAATTTGTTGTGCAGAGTTGTGCCCCTTGGGCATGCCAGAAACCTATTTGGTGAAACCCACGACCACGGGTATGGTCCAGACTACCTGGAAACATTTGGGGTGAACCAGGATTTGAGTGAGTGAGTGAGTGAGTGAGTATGGTTTTACACCACTTTTAGCAATATTCCAGCAATATCACGGCGGGGGACACCAGAAATGGGCTTCACACATTGTACCCATGTCGGGGAATCAGACCCGGGTCTTCGGCGTGACATGAGAACGCTTTAAACACTAGACTACCCGACCGCCCCACCGGGATTTGAACTCACAATGATAGGCACGCCCAAGGGAAGCAACTCTGCACAACGATTTGAGGCGCCTTGGATGACCAGACCACCCGGGCCACCAACAAACTTGTGCTTATTTATAGAATGTCATGATGTACTGATAACAGCGCAACAAGCACAACTCCAGTAACACCTGTTCCGTGTTTGATACAGATGAAGCAAACAACTCAAGAGCAAGAGGATAATTACCATCTTCTTTAACACTGTGGAGAAGATTGCTGACAATGCTCAGAACACACTCGGAATACTTGATGTATGCATCCTAAAAAAATAATAGTAATGTCAATACACATTCATGATATTTATAGCAACTGTAGCCTTTTACATCATTGTTGTTTGGGTGCCAGGAATTGCAGAATGTCTACTTTGTGGTTATTACACTAATACAGACAAAGGAAGGGGTAGGCGGCCATTTTGGACCACTGGACCAATTTTAGAATTATGGTAAACTTGAAATATTGTTTTGAAAATTATCAGACATGTTCAAATTGGCTTGCATGTTGTGTAAATCTAACACGGCTAAACACCCAAATATGGCTATAAAGGGTGAAAAAGGCAGATTCTTAGAACTCCAAATGAAAGTATGAGCAAGTCTGTTACTCAAAATTGCATATTAATAATACCAGTGTTTAAAATACCCGCCTGCCTGACAGTTCGAGACGGTCTATTTTACTGATGGATGGTCAGTTCTGAAAAGTTTGCATGCCTGATGGTCGGGAGTTAAAGTTTCTGAGAACTTACATTAAACAGTACTATTCTTAGCGTTACCCTTCTGTTACCTTTGTTCGTTAGTCCAGAAAGTCCTGGACTGGCAACATTTTCCTAGTCTGGTTGCCTGACTGAATTTTGGGGGAATTTTCTACACTGATAATATTTATCCAACCTCCCACAATGCACATATCTTTCTTCTTACCATTCTAAGTGGAGAAATGCATAAACAAAGGTTTTCAGCTTCTTAAAAACAATTCACCTGAACACACTTAGCATCACCATGGTCACCTCCCAACAATCTGGGTCATGCACGCTTTTCATGCTGATAGTTCTAAACACGCTGTACACATGATTTCCCCAGCCAACTCATTTTCTTTCTAGAGCTCACAGGCGAGAGGATTTGTGATGCAGGGATTGACAGGTGGAAATAGAGCTTGAGAGAAAGGATAAGTATTATAAATAAACAATTTTTTGTAAAATTTACAAATTTATAACTTATCCTATCTCACACAACACAATTATCCCACAGTTGGATTTTGGTTTGGTTTGTTTGTTGTTTAACGCCGCACTCAGCAATGTTCCAGCTATATGTGACGGCGGTCTGTAAATAATTGAGTCTGGACCAGACAATCCAGTGATTGACATCATGAGCATCGATTCATGCACTTTGGATTATTGACATGCATCAACCAAGTCAGCGAGCCTGACCACCCAATCCCGTTAGTCGCCTTTTACGACAAGTATAGTCGCCTTTTACGGCAAGCATGGGTTGCTGAAGACCTGTCCTACCCCGGATCTATAATGGCAACGAACGTAGGATATATACGAGGAAGCTGGAGCTAAACAGTGACACAGAACCATATTATGTAACACTGTCTAGTGTCATAAGAAAAAGCTCGCGGATAGGGATGAGACACTCCCAAAGAATGTGGTGACCTTGATACGTGAACAGAGGAAAAAACACATGGACTCAGGCACAATATGCGTAACAAGTTCATACGTGAGTGAGTGTAATTGTAAAGGCAGCCAATCGACTCTACAAGACGGGTATCTGGCATGGACAATTGGACCAACCAGCTTGGCATCTCTTTTAATGATTCGTCGGGGATTGAATCAACAGGTTAAGACGGGAAGAGAACTGATTGACGACATCACGGTCAGATCGTCGATCCACGACCCAACAACACATGCCCAAACCAGAGGTGAGTGGAATAGAGGAACGGGACACCAGAACATGTCCGCGCCTGACGGCAACTTCCAGATAAAGACCGATGTCTCTACAGAGGAGTGAATACATCTTCCAATCGGATACTCAGTCTGAGAAAACCGAAAACATTTATAACAAACTCAAACAAAAGTGCCAATTATATCTAGAGATAGACACATACAAGGAACTGGATCAGGTACATGTCTCACCCATTCTGCGCAGATGTGTCTTGGAGACTTGTGGCCCAAATTGATGTGGACCTCGGAGGTCAGTCAGAGATGTCTCGAAAGTAGTACATGTATCAGATTTCCAGAAACATCCTTCCATAATTGCAGCCAAGGCACAATTACTGTGTAAAGCCATAGTAGAGGCAACAGCACCAGTTTCGTGAGGGTTGGATGCGAATTGAGCAGGTAGCACAGCATAGGTAAAAGCTCTGAGAACAACTGAACAATTCAAAAATGAAATCGTGGTACTGGAAACTGTCTCAACAGCTGTCATAGGAATCAGGACACAAAGTCTCTTATGTGAACGCCGAAGAGGTTTCGGCGCATCAAGATAGATCCAAAGGGCATGTACGGGACACAAGGATACGTCATCGTGATCCTCAGGATTCAAGATGGATGTCAAAGGTGGGATAGTCAATATCCGGTCAGGTTGTCCCAGAAGTTGATTTCTGGCGATGAAATCCCATCGTAGACCCAGAAAAACTTTCCCATACAACCTGTGTTTGAAAGTACAGTCCGTTTGACTCCAAATGAGAACGATGAATTGCATGGAGGCGTTGTGTGGAGGCATTGTGTGGCCACAGTCGTTGATGAGATAGAGCCACGGTATTGGTCACGAGATGGACTACGGCTAGCAACAGTCCAACCTATAATAGTGGCAGTCGGTTCAGGCACCAGCAGTTCCGACGACGAGATCTATGGCATGGGCGAGTCAGATTGCGACTGAAATTATCATGAGACGGACCCTCTAACGCTCTGTCATTTCCCCTACCACAGAATGTGCAGTGCATGCGTGCTTGCGCTGTTCCTTCCACGGTTTGTCCCCCTACGTGTCATGTACACATTTCTATACAAAATTACATGATAGTTTCTTAAAGAACTTCATCCGTCATGGGGATTAAATTAAACAAAATTCAGATTTTGTTGGTTACAGGGTTCTGCAGGACCCAAGGAAGAACATCAGATGTGGAAAAGGTGTGCTCCCAAGCCTGAGGATTGGCGATGGGAGATGCAAACTGGGATAGCCGAGTGTTGAAGCGAGGTTGCGAAAAGATTGATGTCAGGGCAAGGAAATAACTGGCAAATCCACTGGAAGATCATTGGATGTAGGCGTCAGGGAGATGGTTTGTCGGGTTTGGACAGGGTGTTGGCTATGACATTGGAGTCGCCGGGGATGTGTCTCGTCCAAACTTGAATGTTGAGTGAGTTGTTCAGTTGCAAAAGTCAGGCATCAGAGACAGTAGTGACCCCGACATGGTGCAGCCCATCTTGTTTATGTACCAGACGACAGATAACCTGTCTGACTGGATCATCAGACTGGAGGCACAAAGGAGTGTCACCCAATCACTGCTTTGAACTCAAAGTTGTTGATGTGAAGATGGCTTACTTCGAGAGACCACGCCCTGTCACTTGTCGTTCCTGACAATGAGTTCCCCCACTCATGGTTGACGCGTCAACGAAGGGGTTATTGGCCTCAAGGAGATTCCGTCACAGACTTTTGACAGAATCACCTACCATTGGAGATGTAGCCGTAGGTGATTCATCAGGGAAATTAAAACTTGACAATCGTTGATCTGGAGGGCTTGAGAAAACATTGAATTGGTCGCAGGTGAAGTTGTCCTCTCCTTGTGAGAGCCTGTGCTGACGTCAGGAGACAGAAGTTGTTGCCATTGACGCAGAGAGAGTAACTCTCTGAGGGCCAATGGGACAAGGAATTGAATCTTCATCCAACGATCCAGGAGCACGAACATCTTACCTTGGCGCACGTAAAAGAGGGCCCCGATAAACTGAAGACGTTGATTTGGAGTTGTCTCGGATTTTTTGGCGTTTACAATCCAACTAAGTTGATGAAGAAGATACTGCATGAAGTTGAGATGTAGGAAAAGAATGCCTGATCTTTGTTGGCTTGAGTGCAGTCGTCGATGTATGATTCGATGACGATGCCCAAACATGTAGGAATTTGACGATGGGCTTTGTGAGACGGGTAAATAGCCACGGGCCTGAAGGAATCCCAAATGCGAGCACCTTCCATTGATAGTGGCGGTCGAGGAAAATGAACCAGAGGAAATGGCGATGCTCCTGATGGATGTGGACGTGTAAATACTCGTCCTGTAGATCGAGACTGATCATAAAGTGCTGGGACAAAGAATCGAATGTTTGTAAGTGTGGAAGTGTCTCCATGTATCATTAAGTCACACAAGTTTGATCAACATGTTACTTCGATCAGCCATTTTGAATTATATTTCTCCGGATATGTAATGAGAAATTACGGTACCTGCAGCTTTGATCTTCTGACAACACTGCTCTAGATCGCTTGGACTGGAAAATGCTTTGTGTCAAGTTACCAAACGTAAGTTATAGCTCATATTAAGCAAACAATTACTTTTTAACCCTCGATCACTTATGTAACTTTATCAGCTCAAATAAAATGTCAATTGTAATAAATTCACACGTTGTAAATCGACGGCACACTTATCGTCTGCTTGTTTACTTTTCTGGTGTAAATGTCAGGTGATGTGCTCGCCAAAATTTAAAACTGTAGTTTTGATGATATATAAAATAAAGCTTTATTTTTACAGGTTTTGACCAATGGTGAACCAACCAGAAGAGGCCAGCATACGCAATATTTGTCTGCAGCCCAAGACAAGGCATTTCCTGAAGCATGCTGTCACCGCGTCTGCACACACGTCCCATGATTTACAGCCAATGGATGTTGGTTGCTTTGGACCTTTTACAACAACCTCCTTCACATGTATATGTGGGAAAATGCCACAAGTTCAGAAGATAAACATTCTGTTTGCGAACATGGCTGTAGAGCTTATAACCTGTTGCTGACACCAACAAATTTGCATCCTCTTTCAGGAAAGGTGGAGTCTACCCATTTGACAAGTCTGATATCAACTTTGTGCCATCAACAGTTTTTAAGTCGACTGAACGTTTGCTGCATCCTGATACTGGTGTTATTGATTCAAGTGTGCCAGTTGGAGACAAGGATGCCACTTCACCTACTCAGGGCAATTATGTAGCAGGATTCTTTAAAGACAAGACAACTGTAATTTTCAAGAAAGCTGTGCCTACTAAAAAGAGAAATGTTTTGAGAGCTGTTGTCGGGGGGAA